CCCAGCCGCCTCTCCATCCCACGCCCGACGCCCGCGGCTGACTACCAGAGTCTCGTTGAAGTTGGGGTCCTGGGGCCCCCAGTGCAGGGCCTGGGGGCAGCCGAGCAGGGTCAGCCCCACAGCCAGCAGCAGGAGGCTCATGGCGAGTCAGGGGGGCTGAGGGATGGCCGGCGGCACCTCGGACAGGTGTCCAGAGCCCGTGGTGGTGGCCCTTTTGTCCCCTGCCGGGAGAGGTTCCTGGCCACGTGGTGGGCTGTCACCAGCCCCCTCCCATTGACCACAATTACCTTCTATTTGTTGGGCCTGCGGCCAACAATGGCCACTTTGCCCTTGTCCACAGCCCCCCTGCCCGTGCGTGGTGCAGTCATGCTGTTTCCAGGAACAGCGGGTGTGTCCGCCTGGGCAGGCTTCCAGGGTCCTTGTGTTCCCATCAATGATCAAGTCACAGAGCCGCTTGCTGACCTGGGCAGCCCTGGGCAGCCCTGAGGTCTCCCGTCTGACGGCCACCCAGACATTTGTGTAGCTTGGTCGTGGGGCCCTGGGACTCGGGGAGCGGCCCCGGGGGAGCGGCAGCCCTGGATGCCCTTCCCCATCGGGGGTTGACCGATGACCCTGGCTTAGGGGACAGGGGTGGCTCCGTGACACGGCCTGGGCCATGCTGCCGGGCGCTTCCCCTGGAGTGGACCATCTGGGCAGAGCCAGGCACAGCGGGAGTGAGGGGGCTGCAAGCGGGAGCCGGGATGTGCCCCATCTCGACTCCCCTGCTGGAGCCTGACTGAGTTTGACTCCCTCGTGCTGCACAGGGACCCCCGGGGCCGTGGGGCACAGGGTAGAGCAGCGTAAGTGCAGACACCTCCCACCCCCCCAACCAGGGCTGTGTCCTTAGCTCTCCGATCCTCAGTTCCACACCTTTGAAGGGGCAATGACGACGCTCCCTGGCTGCTGACTGCCGGCCCGTTTCTTGGCTGCAAGACCCTTTGAAGATGCTCATGTGGGGTCTCCCATCCCCCTCCCTCATCCCCCACTGAAGCGGTGGCCTTGTGCAGCCGACTGTGCCCCAGGTAGAGTCCCTCCTTTGTTACCGCAGTGCCACACCTTGGTGTCAAAACCGGGCAAGAACATTACGAGAAAGGAAAAATTGAACGTCACACCCACCCATGAACGTAGGTTCAGGAGCCCAGGTAAACACCCTACAGCGAATCCAGCCACATCTGTGGAAAGGAAGGTACTTTACAACCTGTAGGGTTCCATCCAGAACTGCTAGGTTGGTTTAGGGATCGTGAATCAATCCAATATTCCATCACTTAATAGAGCGGAGGGAAAATCCTCTGATCGTGGTATGAGCTGCAGGAAAGGCACTGGATGAAAGCAACTATTCATGGCAAAAACTCATACCGCTCTAGAAATTAAAGGGGGCGTCCTCATCTGATTAAGGGGTTTACAAAATACTAGGGCAACTGACCTCTGTCTTGGTGAAGCAACAGAAGCTTCTAGGAAGGGAAAGGCAGAAGGATTTGCAAGGAAGTGGCCAACCTGAGATGGTCCTAGGTGACGTGACCCTGTGTGGAGGATGTCCAGGTCACCTGCAGGTGACTTGTTCAGATTCATTAGTGAGTTTAGAAAGGCGACTGGCCACAGGATCTGTACACAAAAATGAACTGTTTCTATACGCGAGCACTGCATACTTAGAAAATGAAATTTAGAGAGACTTTATTTACAACTCAGTGAAAAAAATCAATTAGCTAGAAACAAATCGAAGGAAAAAATGGTGCAAGGCTTCTGCGCAGTAAACTGTAAGCTAGTATTGAGAAATTAAGGTAAACTAGATACGTTCATACACCGTGTGTGTGGATTAGAAGCCTCAATACTATAAAAACGTCAATTCTTTTCCTAAGAACAGTAGGGTGCCAATCGAAATTCCAGCAGGGTATATGTCTCATGGGACTTCACCAGCTGATTCCCAGACGTCTGAAAATGCCAAGAGTTAAAGATAGCCGGGACTCTCCTGAAGGTCAACTTGGTAGGATTTGCTCTCCCAGACTCCTGTTCGCATCACGAGCTCTAGTGCTGAAGCCAGCGTGTAATCTGTGTGAAGCTGAAAAAGAAATGAACCCAAAGAGCAAGGAACAGACCCTCGAGTCCGCGTACGGGCACTTCTGAGGGTGAAGATGGCTCTGCAGAGAAATGGGGTGAGAGGCAGCCTTTTTCATACGTGGTGCTGGGTCGTCTGCTTGCTCATAAGGACGAGAATGAACCTTGACCTTACGTCAAATACAAAGATAAATTCCAGCAGTGTTAAGAGTTGGATGTGCCCCACCCCGGGGACAGGTTGAAGTTCTAACCCGGGACCTCGGAATGGGACCCTGCTTAGAGGTAGAGTCTTTGCAGAGTTAGTCGGTTAACATGAGGTCACAGGGTAGGCCCGACCCAATGTGACTCGTGTCCTTGTAAAGATGACAAGTGTGGGGGCTTCCCTGGTGGCGCAGTGGTTGAGATCCGCCTGCCGATGCAGGGGACGCGGGTTCATGCCCCGGTCCAGGACGATCCCACGTGCTGCGGAGCGGCTGGGCCCGTGAGCCATGGCCACTGAGCCTGCACGTCCGGAGCCTGTGCTCCGCAATGGGAGAGGCCACAGCGGTGAGAGACCCGCGTACCGCAAAAAAAAAAAAAAAAAGATGACAAGTGTGGACACAGTCATGCAGAGGGAGGATGCCCGGAAGATGATCACGTGCTGACAGAGGTGGAGGTTGGATGGATGTAGCCATGACCTGTCCTCCCCTCGAGCCTTTGGAAGGAGCCCGGCCCCATGGACACCTTGACTCGGAATTCTGACGCCAGGAGGATAACGCTGCTGTCTCAGCCCTGTCTGTGGTTCTTTGGTGCAGCAGCCGCAGGACACACACAGCAGGATAGTGGTCAAGGTCCCGGCAGGAACAGTGAGCACATCCAGAGGGGTAATGAAAGAGCGTTTGGGGAAAGGGCTCCCGAGGAAGTGGTGGGAAGGGTTAGGAGAAGCCCACAAGGGAGGTGTTACCGCCCTGGGCTCAGGGGCCTCGGGCGGCAGGTGGTGGACTCTGGGCTGCAGGTGTAGGCAGGGCCCCCAAGAAGGACACAGCATGGCTGAGGTGCAGCTTAAGGGAGGGGCAGTGGGGGGGGTGAGTACCCAGACTCTCGATCCTGCTCCCTGGGGGGCCTCCCTTCGGCCGAGTCCAGCTGGAAGCCACCAGTTCCTGCACTGTCAGAGGCTAGAGCCCCATTCCCTGCAAGACACAATGAAGTGGGTGAAAAATTCAGCCCCAGGGTGGCAGAGGTAAACTACTCACGTAGCCAAGGGCTCCTGTCCACGATATATAAAGAGCAGCTGCTAATCAACAAGAAAAAGACACAACTGTAGAAAATGGGCAACTGACCTCAGTTATCATTTGACAAAGACACCAAAACCATGAGAGAGTGTTTTAGCCCCGTTAGTGATCCAAGAAATGAAAGTTATAATGAGATTTCAGCCCCCCCCCCCCACCCAATGCCCTAAATGACTAAAAGTAAAATGCCTGATTGAAACGGAGCAGGACCCCTTGGTCCTTCCCCACCATGTCCTCCGCCTGCCTTTTGTCTGTGGAAAAACTTTAGCCAAAGAATAAGTTTAATCAGAGAAGTGAGAAAATGCAGAAGCAAAGGAAAACTGTCAAAGGAGACCAAATAATCATAGTTTAGTCATTAAGCAAAGTCAAGGACTTTTAGTTCCTCAAGGGCTATGGATAATATTCTGAGCCATATCCTGTGAACTGTCTCCTAGATACTGAAACCCCCGCCGGGTGGAAGAAGTTACCTACATGATGACCAGGCTGTAGCCATGACATAAGCTGCCACAATTCTGAGAACTGGCCTCGAGGAAATGGGAACAAACCGACCCTGGAACTGAAGGCTAACTGTACCTAAAGCAGTCAAGATGACGCTGGTCAGAGCATCGCAGGACTAGTTTCAAGGTGAGTGTCAGAGCTGACTGTGCTGTTGCTGCATGTCGCGCCCTCCCTCCGTCTACAAAAGCTCTTGTCCCCTGTCAGTGGGGGGCCAGTCGGCCTCTGGACACGAGTCTGCCCTCCCCCCTCCCTGATCCCCACCTCCCACCCGGTTGCTGGCCTTGGAAATAAAGCAAACTTTCCTATCCACCGACCTTGTCTCTTTAACGGCTTTAGAACAGCGAGCAGCCCGACCCCACTTGCAGTTACATGATCGCACCAGTGATGACAAGGACGTGGGGCAGCATGAGTTGATGCTCTGGGGAAGGGATGCTGGTCAGTTCACAGACACGGGAGAGCCATGTGCACGGGCCGCCAAGGCCCCTGGATACGCCTGCCGCTCTCCTGGGTGCCTCCCCACCCAGGTCTGTGCACAGAGCCCGGCCTGGAGGCTGCCCCAGGGTCACCGACGGAAGACCAGGCGACAGAGCTGTAGGCTCTTCACACGGTGGCTCTAGAGCCATGGGAATGGGGACTCACAGCTGTGCCTGTGGGGCCTCCTGGGCGGTGGATGCACGGGTTTGCTGTGTGATGATTCTCGGAGCTGCACACGGCTCTTCTGCACTTTTTTGTGCGTTGTACCAAAATAAGTAGAAAGAAGGCAGTGGAGCTGTTAATGTGTCGATTTGATGCCTGTTTCCCCAGAGGTTTTCTCCAAGTCTCCACCCGCCCCAGGATGTGGGTGACCTGAGGGTCTGGCAGCGTGGGCAGCTGGACAGTCGGAGCCACCCTCCACCAGCCCAAATGGGAGGGGCTTTGTTGAGCTGGGAGCCCCGGGCCAGTGGAAGCGCTTTGGGAACAGAGTAGTAACAGCGGGTGTCTGTAGACTTTGGCATTTTGTCCGTGCACCATGGTTCCGCGACTGCAGAGGGTTTCAGGGGTGTCCACGTCGGTGCGCCGTCCGCTCGAGTTGGTGAGCGCCCTCTGCCAGGCCCCTCTACTGCAGCTTGACGGGACTCTTGTCCCCAGAGCTGCTGGATTTTGTCATTCGTCTTTCTGCAGTGGCTGGTTGGGGGCCTCCCGAAGGGGTTGGTCTTGGAGGGAGCAGCCAGGGTTGTGGGCAGAGGCCTTGGGGTGGGGTGGCGGGAGGGTCGGGTGGCCCAGGTAAGCCACCTGGACCAGCACAGGTGCTGGGCGGGGGGAGAGGGCGTGACAGCGAGCCTCCACGGCGGCTTCAGGACGGGGCCACAGGGATGCCCCTGCTGGTTGGCACAGACACTTGTGGAATTGAGTCGAATGCACTCTGTACCCTGAAACTGGGGTTGAGGTGGTGGCCATCCTTCCCAGAGAGGGGGTGTGTGGCCCTCATGCTCCTGGCCACAGTCCAGCCTGCAAAGCATAGCACGGCCACCGCTTGCCAAAGGCCTGGAGCCCTGGGAGTGCCAGGCCGCTCACTAGCCGTCTGGCGTGAGGAGGGGACCCCCAAACCTATGCCCCAGAGAACACGGGGTACCCAGCATGCCTCCTGTCGTGGGGTGCTCTCTTACCTTTAGGTTGAATTGCAAAGTCCCCGTGGGGACCAGCGTGAGTGAGGGATGCTTAAAGAGGTCACCTGATGGAGGTAGCTGGAAAAGTTTGAAGACTTTCCCGGGACCTGGGTCGACTGTCCACATGTGGGGTGTCGGGAATGAGCCCATTCAGGTCTCCTCAGGGAGCAGCTCTGGGCTGTGGTACAGTGTGAGGGGCCCAGGAGCCAACAGGCTGGCAGTGGAGGGACCACGGAGGGTGGGGCTGGGCTGGGCTCACTGAATCCCTTCCTGTTTTCACAGATGTCGGGTGAGGCTTGGCGGGTCACTCAAGGTCACGGCTGGAGTGAGGGTGGCCGGTCAGGTCCCGGCCACGGTCCCTACCTGTGGCACTGGCCTAACTCCTCTCCACCCCCCAGGGGTCCCCATCTTCACTCTAGGCAGGTCTCCTGACAAGGCCAACATGCTTCCACAACGTCAGTTCCTAATGGCTCTGCGTCACGGCATCTCCCTTCTCAGAGGAAGGCATGGCCGACTTCTGGACCCGGGGTCTTACACCCGATCGCCCGAGTCTGTCCTGGGTGTCCTCCTCGACAGGTGCCCCATGGTGAGAGCCCTCCACCCAGAAGGGGTCCCTCCTTAGCCAGGAGCTTCGCAGCAATCACGTCACCCAGGGCCCAGGGCGCCAGGCACCCTGGCACTTTCGCAAAAGTTTCCTGAGATGCTAATTTTCAGGAACAAAAGCTGTTGTCGTGGAGGCCGCTTCCTGGAACAGACCTGTCTGAGGCCTCTGGCCTGGGACCAGCGGCTGCACACCTGTGTTCCCGCCCACGTGACAGGTGTGGAGACCAAAGTCTTCATCCTTCTCCTGGGGCCCAGGTGACCTCAGCCACCTGCAGGCACTCATGTCAGTGTGACCAGCTTGCCTCATCCACCTTCCAGCCTCCACGGAGACCGGATGCCAGGGCGGCACTGAGAATAACGAGCTGGTAGCTGGTAGCTGTTTAATACCGCAGCCAGCTCCGCAGCAGTGAGGGAGCCGCACCTGGGCAGGTGGTCAGAAGGAGGCGGTCCTATCTTGGGGCTGGCAGTGGGCCTTCCGCAGGTGGTTGTTCAAGTGACCCTGAAGCCTCTCGCCTTCTGAGACGGTTCCCACTCTGTCTATGGAGCGTGTAGCTCTCTAAATAAACCTGCCTCGACTTAAAAAAAAAAATGACCCTGCAGACCCCACAGCCCAGTGGCCTGAGATCTGTCCCTGGGGCTCCCCCAACCCTCCACCTTCCAGGTTGGCAGGATGCAGAGATTCAGTCGTCCTGCACCGCGTCCCGTGCCGCATCCTGCCCCGCATGCCAACCCCAGGCTGCCCGGTGTCACCCCCGCCCGTCTGTGAGGCTGGTCTTGTGTGTTCAGGTAGTCCTCCCCACTAGTGAGTCGTTTCAGGAGGGGCTGGTCTACCCTGCGCTTGCTGCTGTCCTCCCAGAAGTCTTTGATCGACCCCTGATGTCGCTCTGTCCTCTGATGGTGTGCGTGTGTGTGCCAGCCTGCAGGCGGCCAAGTCACTGACGCGGTGAACGTTAGACCAGGAAATGAAGACCTGGCTTTTCCGTAGGGACCCTGCCACCAAGATGCAGAAGGCTCCTGGGGTTCCTCCGGAGCAGCCGTAGAAATGGCTCTCGTATGTGATGGGGTCTCATACTTGCATTTTAGCTGTATTTGAAATTCACAAAAACAGTATCACAGGGCATATTCTTTTGTGTCTAGCTTATTATGCAGGACATATTGTGTTTGTGAGATTCATCCATATTATTTTTTAATTAATTATTTTTTTATTGTACTACAACATACCTAACATAATATTTACCCTCTTAACCACTTTTAAGTGCACAGCTCGGTGGCATCAAGCACATTCACGTTGCTGTGCAACCATCACCACCTCCGTCTCCAGAACTTTCTCATCTTCCCAAACTTCATCCCCACTGGACACTAACTCCCCTTCCCCTCCCCCAGCCCCTGAACCCCAGCATCTACTTTCTGTCTCTATGGATTTGACTTCTCTAGGGACCTTATATAAGTGGATCCTACAGGATTTGTCTTTTTGTAAAAAATAAGTTTATTTATTTACTTATTTATTTTTGGCTGCTTTGGGTCTCTGTTGCTGTGCGCAGGCTTTCTCTAGTTGCGGCCAGCTGGGGCTACTGTTCGTTGCAGTGCGCGGGCTTCTCGTTGCAGTGGCTTCTCTTGCTGCGGAGCGCGGGCTCTAGGTGCACGGGCTTCAGTAGTTGTGGCGCCAGGCCTGAGTGGTTGTGGGGCACGGGCTTAGTTGCTCCGTGGCATGTGGGATCTTCCCGGACCAGGGCTCGATCCTATGTCCCCTGTGTTGGCAGATGGATTCTTTTTTTTTTTTTTTTTGGTACGCGGGTGTCTCACTGTTGTGGCCTCTCCCGTCGTGGAGCACAGGCTCCGGACGTGCAGGCTCAGCAGCCATGGCTCACGGGCCCAGCCGCTCCACGGCATGTGGGATCGTCCCGGACCGGGGCACGAACCCGTGTCCCCTGCATCGGCAGGCGGACCCTCAACCACTGAGCCACCAGTGAAGCCCTGTTGCCCATTTTTAATTGCATTGATTTGGCAGCAAGGTCTTCAGAGAGGCGTCTGGAAGACCCCTCTGGGACTCTGGCTTCAGGCCCCGGTGGGATGGGGCAGGGAGCTGACTCCCTCCAAAGAAGGGTCTGCTTTCTTGGAGGACACTTCCTAGATTAGAATCCTGGCTCGAGGTCTATTTTTCCTTTCAGCACTTTGCAGGGGCTGTTTCTTGTCCTCTGTCCTCCATTGTTTCCGAGGAAACGCAATGCCAGGTGTGTGACGTTACCTTTGAGTTGCAGCGGTTTTCCTGTGGGCCTGAGAATGGTTTGCTTTGTACTCATTCTGCTTTGGGGTTTGTCAAATGTCTAGAATCCGAAACTGTCTTTCATCAAGTTTGGGATTATTTTTTGTTGTTGTCCATTATTTCTGTAAATTTTCTGGTTCTTTGTTTGGGGGGTGTGTGTGTGTGTGTTTGCTTGTGTCAATCCCTTCCCCCCCTTGAAACTCCAATTCAATGTCTATCAGGCCTTTGGATCCTGTCCCACGGATTGCTGACGTGCAACTCATTTTTTTAAAAAAATCTTTTTCTCCTTGTTTTTTTAAACAGGATAACTTCTATAGCTCGATCTTCAAGTTTGCTGACTTTTCTGTCATCTCCACTCTGCTGTGAAGCCATCCAGTGAGTTTTTAATTTTAGATATTATATAAATTTTACATTATAATATATTATATATATATTATTTTATATTAGAAATGTATACATATATATTTGAGTTCCGGGATTTCTCTTTATTTCTTTTTAGAGTTTTTATATCTCTGAGGTGTCCCATGGTTCTGTTCTTTTTGAGCATACTTCTCCACCCTATTCCTGAACATACGTACTTAGGAAGTTGTCTGGTGGCTCCAGCTCTGGCTCACCAGGGCAGCAGCCTGCGTCTGAGTTGTGTTTCCTTTCATTATCTGTTTGCTGGTTTGGTGTTGTATCCGGATGCCGTGAAGGGTGCGGTTTAGATCCTCAGTTCTGTTTTGCTGCTCCCAAGAATCCTTGGCAGTCAGTTTCTTGGCTGGCTCTGTTCCCTCCGTGTGGTGGGTCACAAGTGTCTGTCCATCCTTTCGGGCCTGGCTGGGCTTCAGGTCTATCCTCCCACGGGGAACCAGGAGCTGCAGGGACTCAGGGCCTGCCCTCCATGGCACTCTCCCTCCTGGGGTTCCCTTTCTTCCCCAGCTGGTTCTTTAGGCCAGGAAGACCCAGAGTTCCTGTCGAGTGTAGCCACCCAGCCTGAGGCGAACAGGGCCGGTGCTCAGACAGAAAAGCTGCTTAACAAAAAGGGAAAAGTCAGCCAGCGCTCTTTTCTTCCCCCAAGGCCAACTTCTCTCCAGTTTCTGCTGTCTGTTGGTCACTCTCCAGTACCTTTGGAGAGTTGTTTTTTATATTTTCTGCAGACTTGTCAGTTACTCTGTGTGAGTGCGGGGTTGGTCTGATGGCAGCTACTGTGTTCCTGGCAGCAGGGCCTGGACTTACGTGTCTGCTGGGGCAGGATGACACAGATGGTCGTCGGGCAGGGCAGGAGCAGGGTGACCTGGTACGAGGCTGCTGCGATAATCCAGGAGGGAGGAGGTGGCGGCTTGCACCAGGGGGCAGCAGTGGGGCGGGTGAAGGGGGTCGGATTCTGTTTTGAAAAGAGAGTCAAGGATGTGCTGAGGGGTCGGGTGAGGATATGGGAGAGAGGCCTGAGGACTTGAAGCGTGTGCGTGGCACCGGCCTCCACCCTCTCTTCCTCCCTCATTTGGAAGCTAGGAAATGTCTCTGGGGGCTTCCCTGGCGGCGCAGTGGTTAAGAATCCACCTGCCAATGCAGGGGACACGGGTTCGAGCCCTGGTCCAGGAAGGCCCCACGTGCCACAACTGTCGAGCCTGCGCTCTAGAGCCTGCCAGCCACAACTACTGAGCCCGCATGCCCACGTGCCACAACTACTGAAGCCTGTGTGCCTAGAGCCCGTGCTCTGCAACAAGAGAAGCCACCGCAATGAGAAGCCCGTGCACCGCAATGAAGAGTAGCCCCAGCTTGACCCAACTAGAGAAAGCCCGTGTGAAGCAACGAAGACCCAACGCAGCCAATAATTAAAAAAAAAAAAAAAAAAATGTCTGACCGAGTGACTGGGAAGATGCTGGAGGGCTGGTGAAGCCAGGTCTGCTCTAGATGCAGGAGTGGACGTCAGTGGACGTGCAGAGCTGGCGGTGCTGGGCACTCTGGGGATGGCGGGGAGGCTGCACCATGGAGTAGGTTCCAGAGCCACTGCCTGGCCCTGTGCTTGAAGCCATGAGATGTGCAGGGTCCCTGTGGGGCTGAGCGTGGAGAGGAGGTGATGGCATGGTGACTCCTGGGCTTTTTACACGAAAGCGCCTGAGACTCGGGGGGAGTGAGGGGTCCAGGGCTGCCACTTCCTGGCGGGGAGGCCCCGGGCAAGCCGTGCAGAGTGTCAGGGCACCCTGGAAAGGACCTGGAGTAAAACATCGTCTCACAAGGCCTTTGAGAGGAAGAACAGGACGGGGCAGCGTACACGTGAGAGTGATCTGGGCACAGCCAAGCACCGTGTAAGTGGACAAGTCACTTCCAGGCGGCTTGAGTCAGTCTGTTTGGGGATAACCATGGGAGTGGGGGAACACCTGGTATGGCCCATCTCACAGAGGGGTGTTTGTGCCACTTAGAAGCTGCCAGCGGTCCCTGGACCATCCAGGCACACTCGGGGGACCCCCCCAGCCTCATTTCAGGCCAAGGGGGTCCGAGCAGTGTGGCCGGGGACCAGTCCTCTGAGGCCCCTCTCCCAAGCATTTTTCTGACATTACCCCAGCAAGGCCAGGTGGCGTCCGTCCATCGCAGCTTTGGTGACGTGGGCAGAAGGAGGCTGCAAAAACACTGACTTCGGAAAATGCCGGCACCTCAGGGAGCCTGGCTGCCTGGGGCAGAAAGTGGCGAAGTGCCTCCGAGGGCAGAGGGCATAGGTGGGGTCGCGCTTGGCCTGAGTCCCCCATCTGCAGAGCATCTGGTTTGCAGAGGCCGCTCACAGGAGCCAAGCTGTTTCCTCCAGCGCAGTTGGAATTAAAGGCTCCGAGTGAGGGGTCCCTGGCCGGTCCCCCCAGGGCAGCTCCTGGGTCACATGTGCGTCCTTGGCCGGAGCCTGCAGCCGGACAGGCAGACAGTAGGGTGGGGATGGGAATGTGGGCACACGGAGCAGCCTGGCCGCCCCCCTCCCTCCCCAGTGCCCTCACCCTGGTCTCCGCAGGGTGGGCTGCCAGAGAGCATCCAGCCCCTGACCATCCACTGACAGCGAGGGAGGAAAGGCCACCGCCCTGGCTCCTGGCTCAGAGCACAGACACCGAGATTATTTAATTGGGGCGTTTGTGTGTCAGACTCTTTTTTGGGTGCTGAGAATATGGTGATGGCCAAGCAGACCCAGACCCACCCTTGTAACTCACAGCTCCCGCTCAACTGTCACAGCAGCAGGAACCATGCCAAGGCCGTGCTGGTGTCACGTGGTCTGTCGGCGGTGTTCCAGGCGCTCCACACGTGTCCACTGACTTAATCCCTGCCATGACAACCTTATCTGCAATTGCGGGTGTGGAAACTGAGGCACAGAGAGGTCCAGAACCGTGGCCAAGGTCAAAAAGCTGGTAGGCGGCAGTCTGCTCCAGCATCCTGCAGGTGCCGGAGGGGAGGAGGGTGCAGGCAGCCCCAGCGCACAAACATCCCTGGTGAGGGCACGTAAAGGGGTTGAAGTTTCCGTGTTTCCACCTGCTGGGAGTCAGGGCCAATGAAACATGAGCTACTTTCTCGCCCAGGAGATCGGGTCTGAGACACACCTGGCTGTGGGGAGGTGGCACCTGGGGCGTGCAGGGCAGAGCCACTTGGGGTGAGATGCATACACCCAGCCTCTGGGCCAGTGGAAAAGTAGGCCAAAGGCGCCAGTGCTCCGGGATGGACACATACAGAAGTACAGAGACGCCCCCTCTAAGAATTGCGAGAGGAGGGGACGAGGGGCGATCTAGTTATACTGTAGCTACAATCAAGTTGGGCCCTCCTTTTTTAAAAAAACAACAACAAAAACTATTTATTTATTTATTTGGCTGTGCAGAGTCTTGGTTGTGGCATGCGGGATCTTTTTAGTAGCGGCATGCGGGATCTTTTTAGTAGCGGCATGCGGGCTTCCTAGTTGCGGCATGCATGCAGGGTCTAGTTCCCCGACCAGGGATCGAACCCGGGCCCCCTGCATTGGGAGCGTGGAGTCTCACCCACTGGACCACCAGGAAAGCCCCCTGGGCCCTCCTTACAGCTCTAACTGGTGTCCGGCCACCTGGTCCTCTATGTCCTCCCGGTGAGGGGCAGAGCTGGGAGGTGGCAGAGATTCGAGCTCCTGGGCCTGGGAACAGCTCCTGGGGTTGGGGAGCTGGGCGGGCGGCCACCCCAGAGCCCCTCTGTGGACAGTTTCAGGTCAGACGTGCAGGACCTGCTGTCCTCTATGGTCTCTGGCTGCAGCCATGTCAGTGGGTTTCCCCTGACCTCCAGGGACGACCCGGCCATGAGTTTAGCAGGTCTGCTGTGCCCTTCGGCCCATCCTCTGCATGCACCACGTCACGTCCACGCTACCCTGGTCCCGCGGCCGCACCAAGTCTGGTGGCTGCAGGAGCCCCAAATGCCCTGAAACGATTCCAGGCACGTTTCTTGGGACTGATTGAAAAATCTCAGCTTCAGGAGGGCTTTGCAAGAGGACACCAGGTGGGCACACAGTGCCGACGTGCCCGGTGGAGGTGCAGCTGGCCTTCTCCAGCGGGGGGTCTGCCAGCTTCATGCAGAGACGGTGCCAGGCCTGGGGGTGACACTGGCTGACGCGGGATGGGGACCTTTGGGTGAGCTGACCTTGCCCAGTCCCTTTCCATCCCCCGCACGAGCTCTCCACGCCGCCCACCTGATTTGCTCGACAGAGCGTGGCTGCTGCTTTGCCGAGGTCTGCGGGGTTGGGGTCTTGTCCCCCTCCCCTGGTGCCCCTTGTTCCTGAACCTGCTTCTCCTGGCTGTGTGCATGTTTGCCTGTGGGGTTGGCGGCCAGGCCCTTCTCCTCAGCCCTCTTTCTAGCAGCAGGTCCTGCTGGGAGGCGTCCCAAGCTCGGACGTGGCAGCAGGAGGTCAGCCCGCACGCACTGGGACCACTGGCCTCTATTTTCTGGTCTCTCTACCTCCACACCCAGGGCTTTGTGCCTGGAGGAGAAGGGCACACGGGTACCTCCTCTCCCCTCAGTCCCACCCAAGTGGAGCCCGGCCCTGTGTGTCCTGCTGCCGCTCTGCCCGGAGACTCCGCCGGGCCCGGGTCGTGTCTGGACAAAACCCACAGGGGGAGCCCTCCTCCTGCCCTCTGCCAGCAGAGGCCAAGAAAGAAGGACGCTACCTTCCGGAGAGGAAATCTTTGGGGGATCCAGGGTGAAAGAGGACGGCCGCATGCATAGACGCCCCTGCCCCTGCTGGACCCAGCCTGCAAAACTGCCTCTGGGGTCCCCACTGATGACCCTGGGTGCTTGGCTCGGGCCCCCACTGCCTTGGCGATAGGCACCTTCGGGTGGGCGTCTGGGTGTAGAGAGCACTGATGTGACAGGGGCCGTGTGGGGGGTGTGTGTGTGCAGTTATTGGGGTCACCGATGTTCTTTTCTCCTGAAAACAAAATCTTTTTTAATCATAGAAAGTAGAATGAATATAGACGCGGAGAATGTTCCTGTTTAAGACCCCACTGGCATTCTGGGGTGACTGGATGTCTTTTCTACCTACTGTCCTCGAGCCAGCTCACTTAGTTTTCTATAAATTGAAGTATAGTTGATTTACAATGTTTCAGGTGTACAGCAACGTGATTCAGTTTATATATATATGTATATATTCTTCAGATTTTTTTTTCATTATAGGTTATTACAAGGTATTGAGTTTAGTTCTCTGTGTTACACAGTAGGTCCTTGTTGTTCATCTATTTTATATATAGTATATATAGTATATATATAGTATATATATTTTTATATAGTAGCGTGTATCTGTTAATCCCACATTCCCGATTTATCCCCCCCCACTTTCCCCTTTGGTAACCATAAGTTTGTTCTCTATGTCTGTGAGTCTGTTTTTGTTTCATAGCTATGTTCATTTGTGTCGTTAGACTCCACATAGAAGTGATGTCATTTATGATGTTTGTCTTCCTCTGTCTGACTTACCTCACTTAGTATGATAATTTCCGGGTCCATCCACGTTGCTGCAAATGGCGTTATTTCATTCTTTTATGGCTGGGTAGTGTTCCATTGTGTATATGTACCACATCTTCTTTACCCATTCATCTGTCAATGGACACTGGCGTCGCTTCCATGTCTTGGCTATTGTAGATACTGCTGCAATGAGCATTGGGGTGCATGTATCTTTTCGAGTTAGAATTTTCTCTGGATAGGTGCCCAGGGGCTCTGACCCCTGGACGGTGGGGCCCAGCTTCCCTGCCCGCTGCACCTCTTACCTTGTCTATCTGTGGGTCTCTGGGTTTGGGTCGGGCAGTAGCCCGCCGGCCAGCCCCAGCCCCGCGCTGAGCTCCAGAGCCTGACTCAGACAGCCAGGGCCCTGGAGACTCTCTGCTCTGGGCTCAGCTCGCCTCTGAGGCTCCCCCTGGGGTGGGTGGTGCTTCCCTGTGGCCCAGGGTCGTCAGCCACCTCCCAAGCATCAATCTGGGCGGCCCCTGTGCTCCCCAGATGCCAGTCTTCCGCACCAGCAGGCCCCGGCCAAGTGGGCAGCTTCCTACCTGTCCCCGGCCATGGCCCAGCAGGCTGGACCGAGTTTCCGGACAGGGAGCTGGAGGCCGGCCTGGCCATGAGAGTGCGGGGTGCCCCTGGCCCCCTGCCCATCCGGATAGAGCCTCTTTGTCCCAGCATCTGGCTCCTTTGGAAGGGACACAAAACTCTCCCTCCCCACAGCCTGGAGCCCTGGTCCTTGTGCAGCCCGACTCAGAGATTATGAACAGACACTGGTGCTGGGCGGGGTTGGTCCCTGAGGGAAACGCCCTTGGGGTTTGGGGCCGGCCCTCGGTCCTCTCCTGCTGCTGATCCCGGCCGTGGCCGTCCAGCCTTTGCCCCCCAACCTGGGGGTTTCTGGAGCAGCCGGCCATGGGGAAGGTCTCTGGTGGGTGGTCACCCGCGGAGGGAGGGGTGGCGCCAGCCACCTCACCCTGCCCGGGGGCTGCCCACTCGAGCTGCACTGCAGGCGGGTAGTTGTTTACGGAGCATGTGTGGGTAGTTTGGTTCCTGTTCAGACGGGAGGGGGGAGGCGGGGCAACCCTGGGAGGGGAGCAGAGGGTCTACGGGGCAGGGGCACTGGGGTGGTGGAGCTGCCCTGTCTGATGGGTCAGGGGAGGAGCCTGTTAACATTTTCCCGGTTGAGTCGGAAGGAAGGACAAACTCTCTTTTTAACCTTTTATTTTGAGAGAAGTGAGGATTCACACGCAGGTGTGAGAACGGATACAGACAGCTCCCGGGTCCCTTTGTCCACTCTCCCCCCTGCTGACCTCTTGCACGGCTGTGGGGCAGCACCCCACCTGGACGCTGGCGTTGGTACCACCCACGCTTGTGCAGATCCCTCGACACGGGCGCTGAGGGCATGAGTGTGTATTTCGTGCCAGGCTCCCGTGTCCGCTGCAGCCCAGGTACGGAACCTTCCATCCCCACGAGAACACCCTCCTCCTCTGGCCCCTCCCGCCCTTAACCCCTGAAATCACTGCAGTTTTGCCACCTGGAGATTGTTGTATGAACGGAATCCCACAGGGCAGCCTTGAGAGCCATCGCCTTGCCCGTTTCCCGTGGAGCTGTGTCCGGTGCGTGGCTGGACCACACTTTGTTCGGCCGCAGGGCGATCACTTTTAACCCACGAAATAACCGTGGGCTACTGGGACCCCCCATGTATTCACCAAGACGTGGGGTGAGGGCAGGGGTCACGTGTCTCAGAGGGACGGCTGAGCGGGGAGCGGGGAGAGGCAGGACCTGGTTGGCTACCTTAGGACCCGCCCCCCAAACCTCACAGATGCTCATCAGAGGTGCCCGAGGGCCCCCGCTTCTCAGATGAGATGCTCTGGAGGGGCAGTCACTGGGGAAGGAGAGGTGGTCTTCCTGGGGGGGGGCTGTTTCCTGAGGAAGGAGGCCAGCTGGAGAAGGAGCCTGTGTGGGGTGGATGGTGCCCCCCCGCCCCCCAAATACGTCCACGTTCAGATCTCAGCATCTGGAACCGGTCCCTGCCTCCCAAGGGACCCCTCTGCCCTCCCAGAGACCCCTCTGCCCTCCCAGGGACCCCTCTGCCCCCCAAGGGACCCCTCTGCCCTGGAAAAAGATCCTTTACAGATGGGATTAGGGTGAGGCTATTGAGATGAGGTCATCCTGGATAAACCCAGTGGGCCCTCCGCCAACGGCAGGTGTCCTCACAAGAGACAGAAGAGGAGAGACACGGCCGCGGAGGAGAAGCCGTGTGGCCACGGAGCTGAGACTGGGGTGACGTGACCACAAGCCCGAGCAGCTGGACGCGGCAGGAAGGGCCCTCCCCTGGAGCCTCCAGAGGGAGCTCAGCCCTGCCCACACCTGGATTTCAGACTTCTGGGCTCCAGAACTGCAACAAGAGAATAAACTTCTGCTGTCTGGAGCCCCTGTTTGGGGTCCAGTGTTACGGCCGCCTCAGGACAGGGATACAGGGCATGCTCACTGAGCCCCACCACCCCAGGAGGCTCCCTGTTACGTGGCAGGAGAAGCCCGCGGGCAGGGTGAGGGACAGGCTTGGAGAAGCGGCCTCCACCCTCCATCGGGCTTCCTCTGCCGCCCTGGCCGCCCAACCACCTGCAGCCGAGCTCACGCACCAGAAGGCCTGGGTGGGCTCCTCTACCTCCTGTGCTTTCTACAAGGATCTGGGAAGACATCCGGGCTCTCAGACGGGGTCTCGCGGGGGTCCCCGCCCTGCCCCAGGCCCTGGGCTCCCGCTGAGGCCGGGCTGAGGGGACGCCCCCGGAGCCTCTCTCTTGCCCAGGCTGCTGGCTGGAAGGCAGTGAGGCCCACCGGTGTTGCTGGGGTCGACGATATTTTCTGGGCCAAGTCCATGTGATTTGCAGATTTTTTCAAATCTGTCCAGGAAGCTGGGTTTCAGCTCTGGGAACCGTCCTGAGGACAGAACAGCTGGCGTCAGGATCCCTCACTGGCCATTTGGGACCGTGTGGGGAGGGGACAGCGTGGCGGGTGCCCGGTGGGGCGGCGGAGGCACCTGGGCCCGGTCCACACCCGCCCTGAGACACGATGGGCTGTGGGCAGCCTGGCCGTGGGGACCTCGGTACGTGTCGAGACCCACTGGGACGGGGCTGTGTTCGGAGCAGGGGCCCCGGGGCCCGGCCCGGCCCTGTCCCGCGGACGGCGGCTGTACCGTAGAGCGCCAGCACTTGCGTCTCCGTCCCGTTCCTGAAGTTCCGCAGTCACGTACTGCAGGTAGTTGGCCTCCGAGACCTGCAGCAGGTTCTACCCCAAGTCTGCGTGGAAGCTCTGCTCAGCCTTGCCCTGGCCCCCACCAGTGCCCGCATCCCCCAGAGGCCAAGGGCACAGACCCTTGTGGGTGGAGGGGCGGGTGGAGACCCCCGCCGCCCCCGAGGGCCCACCCAGGCTCGCCTCCCCGAGCCCTAGGCTGGCTCTCCCGCCTCCCTGGGGCCCTGGGCGGGGGGAGCCCGGGCCCTTACAGGCCAGGCCCACTCCTCTCACTATGGGGTCAGCAGTCAAGAGGTCTCACAAAGTGCCCTAAATCAGAGCTCACTAGGGGTGGGGCCGTCAGACAAGGCAGAACCCGTGTTCACTTACAGGTGATGGTGTATTCCCTGCTCTTACCCGTTTTATCACAGACCATGGCCACATCCACGCACCCGTTATGCAACCTGGAAACCAGCGGGGTGATGCCCGCAGCGGGACTCCACCCGGAAGCCGTGTGACCAGCTCCTTCCATCCCTCCAGCCTCGTCCCCATGTCCTCTGCACCCCTACCCCAGCCTAGCACTCTGCTGCCCCCCACCCGGTGCCCCCAGCGCCGTATGCAGCACCCCCAGATGGCCAGAAGCTGATCCACACGGGTTGGGGGGGCATCCGTCCTCCCCAGTTCTGGAGAATGTGGGCCACTCACATGAGGTGGAGGCTGAACTGCAGGCCACCATTTTCTAAGCTTTCGATACTCTGCATGAAGACCCTCAGATCCCCGTCTTCTTCTATCCGCCTCATGTCGTCTGCGGCCATGGAAATAGAATACCAGGTCCCCCAAACCTGGAGACAGAGGCTGTGGTGGGTGTGGGAGCCCGTAGGGCATCCTGGACTTCTTGGTGCCTCCCTCCTGGGCCAGACCCTGGGCGTATGGCTCCCAACCAGGGACCCCTCTGCCCTCCCAGAGACCCCTCTGCCCCCCAAGGGACTCCTCTGCCCTCCCAGGGACCCCCTCTGCCCCCCAAGGGACCCCTCTGCCTCTCAAGGACCCCTCTGCCCTCCCAGTCTGCCATTGCAGCTGGGGGTGAGAGCCTCAGGAACAGCATCCTGTCACAGGTCAAAGACCCCAGGTGGAGGCAGGGCATGTGCCCTGCAGCCAAGCCCCCGGGAAGGCCCAGACCCTCAGCCCCACCTTGGAGATGTCATGGTTTCTCCACAGGATTCTCTGGAGGTAGAAGTCCTGGGCAGAGACCAGGCTCAGCTCCAGGCTCAGCAGGAGCAGTGCCACGCCCTCCGGTGGGTGCCTGCCCTGAGGCCCGCCCCCTTTATCCCCCTTCCTGCGCTCTGGTTTCCGGCCCCAGCCTTACGTGTCCTCCGCACAGGCCGCTGCTTGCTGGGAACACAGCCGATAGCTGCCGCAGCCACCCCCGCTTCTCACAGTGTCCTCCCCCAGGGACGGCTGGCTCTGGAATCTGCCCGGACGGGGGTCCGGCTGGGTCTGAAGCTGCAAAGGGAAGTGGGGACAGGGACGCGTCTTGGCCTGAAGCCCCGCCGGCCACAGGGGCGAGTGACGCCGGGGCCTCTCGGAGCCGTAGGATGTGGGCAGCAGAGGGCACTGCCCCTGGAGGGGTCACTCCTGCCCCTTCCAGCCCGGCCCGGCCTGGGTGCTCCTATATGAGAGCATCGATGTGCCCGGGCAGCCACACGTGCAGGTCGGGGTCCTGAGCAGAGGTGGGCAAGTCCCAACTCCCCTTCTGCATCTGGGCACAAGGTGAGCTGGTGGTCGGCGTGCGGGGTGGGGGTTGCGCTGGACCAACCAGGACATCGGCCACTAAATCCTTTTTTATCTTTTTAATTTATTTTTTTAAATTTTATTTATTTATTTTTGGCTGCGTTGGGTCTTCGTTGCTTCACGCGGGCTTTCTCTAGTCGCTGCAAGCGGGGGCTACTCTTCGTTGCGGTGCGCGGGCTTCTCATTGCAGTGCCTTCTCTTGTTGTGGAGCACGGGCTCTAGGCGTGCGGGCTTCAATAGTTGTGGCACGTGGGCGCAGTAGTTGTGGCGCACGGGCTTAGCTGTTCCACGGCATGTGGGATCCTCCCAGACCAGGGCTCGAACCCGTGTCCCCTGCACTGCCAGGCAGATTCTTAACAACTGCACCACCAGGGAAGTCCCACTAAATCCTATTTTAAATAACAGACACAGTTTATGTATTGATTGAATATTTTTTTATTGAGCACCTACTATGTCCAGGCACTGGGATTAAAGAACCTGGTCTCAGGAGGGCTGTGCTCCAAGGGGGACACAGGCATTAGACAAACGGAAAATGACAAACGGCCTCCTCCTCCCCCACTTCCTGCCCCCACCACTGGCCTTCCCTGTGCCCTTGGACGGGCCGACCCCACTCTGACCGAAACCTCCATCCTGCTCAGTGGGGTTCCCAGGTCAGCCACCTTCAGCTCATTCGGTCCCTTGGTCACACCGCTCACCCCGGCCTGACCATCAGCCATTGGCAGCTTCTCCCCGTCCTTGGCCACTGTGAGGACGGGGGACAGTGCAAGGACAGGGAGGGTATGAAGACAGAGCTGGTGCCTTTGGTCCACAAGTGAAATTCCCAGAGGTGGGCTGGGAGTTGCTTCTTCACAGAAGCCCTCTTTGCTCACCCATGTCCCCCAGGACCCCCGTTTGAAGGTCGCAGTCTCTGTCACAGAGGACAGCTGTGACGTGCCTCCTGGCGTCAGGATTTCTGTGACCTCACAGGATGAACAGGAGTCTTGGTTTGGTGCTGGGGTCACGTGACTGTCTCTGAGATGATGCCTGCTTGAAGGGCCCTCCAGGGCTGCTGGAATGTGCTGGATTCTGTGAGGCCAGGAGAGGAGCGCCCTCAGCCCAGCTCCGTCCCAGCAGCCATGGCCTGTCCCCACCACCCTCGCTCTTGTACCTGCCAGGGTCACCTTCCCACTGAGATGCTGCCATCGATGTTCTGCTGCATGAGCCATGACAGACATAGACATGGACACGCCTGCATGCAAATGCACGCACGTGTCAACACGCACGCACACTCATGTGTGTGCACACGTGGCCCCACCCTGCATCCTGGATGCTTTGATGCACCCAACAGATCTTATAACATGAAGCGTGCTGTTTCTATCTTCAGAAAGATGAATACTTAAAAAATATTCTGAAAAGCAGAAGAAGAGGTTTGCTCTCCTGGGGCGAATCCACTGCCTGGGGGATGAGGGAAGAGAGGGCTGTTCTTCTCCATCATATTCATGAACAAACTGCTCAAGACACCTCCCTGCGAGGAAGGGTCAGTCCCTAGAAGCAAGGAGGGACCACAGAGGAAGTGAGATGCAAAGGAGAATTTAAAATACCCTTTAATTTTTCAAACAGGACAAACTCCCATTGTCCAGCAGCCATGAGGAGCCCCGGACAGCAGAGGCGTCATCGTGACCGTGACTTTCCAGGACTTACATCACCAAAGGGTCTGCTGACATCACCACCCACGGAAGGCTAAACGCCGCGCAAGCCCCCCATGGTGTCTGGCCCGTAACTTTACAAAGACCCAAAGATAGACGCTCGGAAAACGGCCATCCCCGCGGGCCGTCATGACCGCCTCTTACATTGCCCCAACTGAGGTGAAGGGCCCCCTCAGAAGGGACGTGGGGAAGTTTGGTGACAGTGGTAGAAGCGGTGCCTGCCTTGGGGGTGTCGTCGCTGAGACTCACTGCTGGAGAGAGCCCGTGGTACCCTACCCATGTGGCATTGCTAATGCCCTAGGATTCAAGCAGGGGTCAGTGTCACATTGCAGGGCACGAAAACCGCCTGGCCAGCGTGGAGGGGTCCAGTGGGAGTACAATGTGCGCGGCCTTTGCCCTGTCCAGTGTTCTAGTAGGAGGTAAAAAGAAACACGTAGATTACATTTCGTCATATATTTGTACTTAGCTCAGCAGATCCATATAATCAATGTAAATTTATTGATTACATACTTAAGTCCTTTTCTTTCTATGTTCGTCTTCAAAGCCCAGTGTGTTTTGTGCACTCACAGTACATCTGAAGTCAGACCGGCCGCCTTTCACGTGCTCGACGGCCACACGTGGCTACTGACCTGGTCAGTGCAAACTAAGGCCGCCTACTCGTTAATCCGGTGCCGGAAATGAAATCTCAGACTCTCCATTCTGCTCAACACACAGCCCTGCAGGTGTGTGCACAGAGATCCCATGTAGGATGCGTGACATAAGCCTGGGCGTTGGCTGGAGCCAAAGGTTCCATGTTAGACCCTGACGCCTTTCATTCGGACTGTAATCCCTGTTCACAGACGTCCGCCTTGGAGAAGGCTCAGGTGTTCTTAGCCCGCCAGAGTCCTGGGGCAAATGGTGCATCTTACTATCTCTGCGAGGAGAAAGAAGATGACGTCAGCTTTGGGGACAGATGGCAACCTTGTCATGACCTCATTTTATCACTGCTCTAGGGTGGAGAATCTGCAGCATGTCTCTTAGTCAATGTGGACGTTGACAAGGACCAGGAGACGTGTCCGAGACGGTGCACTCAGTCCCCAAAGGAGCGGCCAGCAGCCCAGGAGACTCTAGTGGAACAGAGGTGCCCCTGACTCCCCTGCCCTCTCCCCAGAGGTGAGCGTCCCAGGAGCGGACAGCTAGGTTGGTGCCCCAGTGTCTCTCAATGAGTCCACGAATCCATGGTTAAGAGGGGGCAGAGGTGTGACTTTCTGCTAATTAAAACGGACTTCTCTCTCCTCCTCTAGGAGACAATGAACTCTAAAAGGAAAATGCTGTTATTGATTCTGTGTCTTTCATCCCTCCTGTTGCTTGAGTGTTTTTTCAGGTAAATAGAAAGTATTGATGAATCAGGACCTGCGGTGCTTGGCAGGGCTGGTCGAAACCTCCAAGTTTTGTCCAAAGATGTTAATAACACTTTCAAAATTAATCAGATGTTACCGCCCCTCTCTGGGAGGCCAAGCAGAATATACTTACTTTCATTCTTTCATTTTTAAACTTTCAACAAGCATTGCTCAAGCCCTGTCTGGGCCCTGGGCTCTGTTCCAGGTGCTGAGGGAACAGCGGTAACAGGACGTGCCTGTCCACATGGAGCGTCCTGTCCTGTCCTAGGTGAGGAAGGCTGAGCAAACAAACAGAACAGAGGGTCAGGGGTGACATATTTTACATGATTAATGTCAAGAAGAAAAATTAAAGTTAGGTCACAGCACCGGGTTGCTATTTCAGACAAACCGTAAACTGTCACAAAGTTCCATCTTGTGTCTGACATAAACAAGATGACAGTGACCTGCCCTGGCAGCCTGTGTGAGCTGGGGACACACCTGTGACCTGCTCAATTTCTCATAGAGAAAAATACCAATTCTTCCTTCCTCCATGCCCACACCTCGTGGCCTCCTTCAAAAGCAGTGCAACCTTCCCAAATGCTATCTGAAAAGCCGTCATACCGTGAGAGAGAATGTCTTGAAAAATGAAACTTTCACAAAACACAGATCTGACAAAAGGCTTGTAACCAAAATGTGCAAAGTACTCTTAAAACTCAACAGTAAGGAAAAGAAAAGCTTAATTAAAAAATGGGCGCGATCTGGACAGACATCTCACCTGAGGAGACACAGAGATAACAAACAGGCCTCTAAAAAGATGCTCGACATCATTTGTCATTAGTTAATTGCAAATGAAAATAGCAACGAGATACCACGACATACCTGTTAACACAGCCAAATGGTACAGCCACTTTGGAAGACAGTGTGACAGTTTCCTACAAAGCTAAATATGGTCTTTCCAACGATCCAGCAGTGGTGTTCTTAAGTCTTATTAATCCAAGTAATCTGAAAACGTATGTCCACAAGCAACCCACACAGGCTTTTATAGCAGCTTTATTCATAATTGCTAAAATCTGGAAGCAACCAAGATGTCCTACAGTAGATGAATGGGAAATAAACTGTGGTCCATCCAGATAAAGGAATATGGTTCAGCAATAAAAAGAAGTGAGCTATCAAGCCAGGAGAGTATACGGAGGAAACTTCAATGCATGTCGGTAAAGGAAACAAGCCGGAAGCCAATCCGAAAAGACTACTGGATGATTCCAACTGCATGGCATTCTGGAAAAGGCAAAACTGTGGAGACAGTAAAGGGATCAGGGGTTGACAGAGGTTTGGGGGATGGGGGAGGGGTAGGTAGATGAGCACAGATGGTTTGGGGGCAGTGGAACCGCTCTGTGTGACACCGCAGCGGTGGACCCATGGCGCTATGCCTTTTTCAAAACCCATAGAATTTCATGGCACAAAGAGTGAATCTTAACCTAGATAAATTCTCCAGTTGTTTAGGAGGTTGAGGGAATCCCAGGAAGGTTTGCTGAGCCTGAAACAAACATGCCTGAAACAAGCTCCCTGAGGGCGGAGGAGGGCGCTGAGCGAGGTCTCCCTGGAAATGAGTGGAGTCTGTAAAAATAAAGGCAAAGGAGCTGCACGTGGGACTGTCTCTAGTTGATAACGTCATTTACCCACAGGAAGACAGGGTAGCAATTCTGAAGCCAGCGAGGGTGGTCCTGGGATGGAACCGTTGGGTAAGTGGAAGGCAGGGCATGGGAGCCAGCTTGTCACTGGTGGAGTGAAAGTTTATAGGTAAGTGGGGGACAATAGGTGGATCCATGGGGTGTTGGGTTGGAGCTGGAGACACAAGTCTGCACTCGTGTTTAGCTTCAAGGAGAATTACACGAGGAAGTATTTCTAGACAGTGCACTTGTACCGTCTGGTATGAATACACACATTCACTTCCTTGCTGTCCCAGATGAGAGGGCCTGGAAACAGTGATCCCCCAGGAGCAGTGAGCACACCTAGCCTCACATCTTGGCTTTTAATATTCTACAAAACAAAGCAAACCCCTAAATAGAGAAATGGCTGATTCTACAACCAGGACAGAAAATACACAGGATGAGCCTGGAGCACATCCAAGGAACACAGGAGCCAATAAAAGAGTTCCCAGTGGATAAAGTTGGAAGAATTTAAGCAAGAAAATAAAGTAGCATTGGATTATAACCCAAAGTATAAAACAGATATTCAGAAGAGACGACACTCCCATTCATAAGAATTCCTAGTAATCGATGGAGACGTTCCCCTCCAGGAGGTGGAACGCATGGGTTGCCGTAGTGTTTCCCTATAAAGAGCACAGTATGGAAAGTGGGGAGAAAGAGTGACTTTATAGTAGAAAAGCCTGCAAACACCACCTCAGCCAGGTGGTCAAGGTCACGTCAGCTGGGACAGGTCGTGATGTGGTCTGAGAAACTGCCAGACAAGAGGAGCCCAAGCAGACGGGCGTCATATGGATCCTGGACAGGATCCCGGAACAGGGGAAGGGGCTTAGGGACAAGCTGAGGAAATCTGACGGAAGCAAGGGGTTGAGCTCATACTAGTATCACCATTGCTTCGCTCACGGTAACAGGTGTCCCATACGAATCCGAGTGGTTGAGTGTGTGGCGGCCAGGTGCAGGGGCATCCAGGACCACCTTCATAATCTTTGCTGTGAAATTGCTCTAAAAATAAAGTTTATTTTAAAAGGAGGGCGCACAGTGTCCATCGACCGATGAATGATAAAGATGTGGTACGTATACACAATGGAATACTACTCAGCCATAAAAAGAACGCATTAATGCCATTT